ATAGCCAAAAACTGTGGGAAGAACCAGGCGGGAGGACTGAGTGAACCATCTGCTTGAGTTTGAGGGAAATATGAACCTTCTCCACTTCAGTGGATCAGAGCAGACGGGGCGAAGAAGTTCAGTGCTGGAACCTGGTTTGGTCTCTTCGCTCCACCTTGTGGCCAGATGGCGCTATTGCAGCAATATTGTGTGAAGTTTCCTGGTATCCTGTGTTGTGATCACAGTTACACGTTTAATCCTCAGTGCAGAAACAGCCCACACGTGCTCTGAGAAAGGAATACTGCATACAAGTGAGATCATACGAAACTTGTATTTCTTTATATTAATGTAACGTAAACAATGTTGTCTTATAAATATGTATAACTGATTAGTCTTTTTTTTTTTAATAATCTTGTACAGAAAAAACACACGAGGCAAAGTTCTTAAATTTCTTTTCTACTCTTTGGAAACTGAATGTCATCTCTTTAGATGTTGAGGTAAGCACAGTGTGATCGATGTGGAGTCCAAACGCTGACGGCCCAAAGTGACAGCCGCCAGTTTCTGTCCCCTCGAACTCTGTTTTTACAGTCAAGACTTTGTAATCTTTTTTGGTTTTAATTTCTAAATCGAGATAAGATAAAGGCTAATTTTTTTTAGATATCTGACGGTGGCAGGAGTGGCCTCTAATTCTGTTATTTTATAAATATAAAACTGATAAAACGACGTGTTTGAGACATTAGCTGCATGTTTTTAGCTTTGTTGATCTCCTCGTTTTTAGCTGGAGATGTCACAGCTGCGTTCTTCTGATGAAAATCTTCAACCTCAAACATTAATAAGTAGGATTAATGCATAATTGTTGCAGTATTGCTCCACTACTGTTGCACAAAGGTGCCAACGCCCTCGTCCTTTGTTGTTGGATCATTATTTTTACACATCGTCGCCATGTTGATCCTTTAGTCCATAAATGAGTGTTGGCGCTGACGCTCCACGGTAACGCGCCACTATGAGCCGTTCACGTATGTTTAAATAGTCACGTGCGTCTACTTTATGAGACGAACAGCAGATGGCGCCAAATTCAAACAAGCTGCTTTTTTGATTTCAGAGGACAGAAATAAAATTAGCCAAAATCAAATGTTTTGCGTGCTGGTGCTCGTTTAGTGTGGTGCCAACTCCCCTGCTTCACGCTTTGGTTGACACTAACATCAGCCTTTGGACTCGGACCAATCCCACGTGTACTTTGTATGTGTGAATGTGTGTGTTCTGCACTGTTATTCAAGTGGTTCAAGTTGCTGTTCCTCGTTCACGTGGCTGCCTTTTCTGTTAATGACTGAAGCGATCGACTGTTTGAACTGTCAGCTGTGCCATAAGAGCCTCTCCTCTGCTCCCTTCTTGTCGTCGTCCTAACGATCCCATATCGCTGAACAACCATGTCGTCTGACTTTCTGCTGGACTTCATTTTCAGCTCCGCATTTCACACATTTCCTCCAGGAGCCTCACGAATCGAGCGCCGTCCTCTCGCTGGAATGCTTCAAAATCATGAAACTGGAGCAAACAGCGACTGATCATCGCTGAATTCCAGGCGTTTTGCTTTTCCAGGACATTCCTCTTCACTGCGTCATTCTTGTTGTACAAAGCGGTTTAATGTCGGCTCCCCGTCTATGATGTGCACTAACGCAACACTGATATTTGAAACACTATTTCAACGTGTGTTTGTTTGAAAGTTTGTAGCTGATGATTATTGATGCTGTTGCACAAGCAGGCGCTGAGTCGGGTTACAGATGTGCAGTTTATAGGTGGCTGCAGCGCCACAGTCCTGTTACACTGGGAGGGAGGGGCTGCTCGTCTGCTGGGCCGACTCCAACGCCGTTTGCTGTACAGCAACTGTCTGAGCTGCATTAATAAATTTCAGTTTTTCTCTTTATTTGTGCACGTTGAGATTTTATAGAAAAGGAGAATACTGACACTGACACCACGTGCACACACGCACACACGTGCAGGTATTAGCAGGTAAATGCAGACATGCAACGTTTCCCATTATAAGTAATGTAGACTCACAAAACGTCATATTGTTCCAAAGTGATTTGAGCAACTACTTGTGTATTCCCAAACACGGTGCATGCTGGCTCACTTATTCAAACTAAACTCCAGATGTTGTTTTGGCATTTGCACCAATCAGTGTTCAGACAACGACACAGATTTCCCCTCCGAAGATTTGAAATCATCAAATTCAGCTGAAATTTAAGGAATTTTACAAAACTGACTGTTTATAAATTGCAGCCATTTTTATCTTTGTTATCTCCTGACAAATTAAACAGAAAATATCTGAAGCTTTTCCAAGTTTAGAACTTGTGTTTGGTGCCTTTTCACTGCTTTTCCCTTTATGAGACCCAAAAAGACCCTGATGCAGAAAGTGGGTTTGATGATGACAGAATTATTTCCATGATTTAGAAAAACATCACAAACAATGGATGAAGAGCGTTTACAGGTTACACTCAGCAGAGAAAGTCTGAAGCCCAAATGCAACATTTGATGGCCGGGTTTAGACTTTAGGCAGTTTCTGATTTATTCAAATGATCCTCATAATGATGTAACTTTGTCCTTTTAAGTCATAAATGGTCAGTTATCAGTCAGAGAACATATCAACCCTAACCTAACTGAATATAAACTTAATGAAATTTCTATTTAAAAAAACAAGTGTATCATCACTACAGAGTTCACGGGGAAACTGTGCGACTCGGATTCACGACAACGAAGCCAAAATGCTCAACAACCTTTATTGTTGCAGATCCAAAAGGCATAGCTGGAGGCATACAGGAGCAACATGAATATAATGAAGCAGAACAGTGCAAAACTGAAACATCTAACAACCATGAAGTAGAAATAGGAATCAAAGCCTCGACGACGATGATCACATCAAAATGACGACATTTACATGTGACACCATCATCATCCTTTTGGCTTTTTGAACATCGAATCGAAAGATCACCACGTAGTGACGTGTTATTGTGGACCTCTCCGGCTAGAGGCTCCCATCCGCCCATGCCAGGAGGTTCGGGTCTATCCCAGCGGTGTTCGGGTCTGTTCCAGCTGTCATAGGGCGAGAGGCGGGGCGAGAGGCGGGGCGCGCCCTGGTGGAACCACAGATTAATTTCATGACTTGATCTGTTGCCAGTAGGTATGATTTTGCACACATATACATGACAGCATTGGGGTACAGTTATAACAACAGGCTAATAAAAACTCTCTATCTGCCGTCTCGTCCTTCCATGAATCCGTACCTTGGTACCCGATGTCGCGTGGGACCGCGGTAAAATGAGCCGTCATTTGTGAGCCGCGGTCAATTTCCTTGCGCTTTTACACGAGTCTTTACGGTAGCGCCTTTTCGCTTTATATCCCGATTGAAAGCCTAGACCCGCGCACACGTGCACGCGCGCACACAAATTACAATGGAACAGCCCAATACAGTCAACACAATTATGTCAATTTTCAAAAATTCATTAAAAATCATCCTTAATAGTTGAGGTCCAACTTTCAACACATCCCTCCTCTGGGACACCTACTGTACCTGTGTGCAGATTAATATTTCATGACTTGATCTGTCAGTAGGTGGCATGATTTTGCACACGTATACATGACAGCATTGGGGTGCAGTTATAACAACAGGCTGATAAAAACTCTCGATCTGCCGTCTCGTCCTTCCATGAATCCGTACCTTGGTACCCGATGTCGCGTGGGGGTGATGATATCTCCCCCTGACCTGGCTCCCCCTTGCCGTAGCATGTGTGTTGTACATAGTTACTGGATACAGACACCCAGGTGGGGATTGAACTTTCACCTCCTGCTCCAAAGGCGTGTAGTTTTATCACTACGCTATCCAGCAGCTCGTGGCTCCCTGTCGGGAAATTGAACCCGCGCTTCAACTGCCAATGCAGATGTGCAAGTACCAAGACTCGGCCTCTTAACAACTGCATCCATCACATTTGAGATGTGTAACAAGTTTCATTGCCTTTTAAGCTTTTTGTGGACCAAAGCGACAACTTTTGTTGCATTGCCACCAGAGTGCGCTGCTGAATAAAAACTCTCACTCAGTTGATGCGTCAACGTGTGAGGAGGAGTACATCAAATATACCAATAGGTGGCGCTCTAAGTGTCCAGGCATGTGTTCAGGACTCTCATCAACCAGGAAGTCGAGGCCAGATTGGACTTTGTGTATCTGACTTACAGTAATTTTGTGCTTCATTGTAAAACGTCGAAGTTTGATTACAAACAACAAGCCGCAAACTCTGTGACAAACATCAGGATCAGAAACCAGAGTTTGTTCTGATAAGACATGTTTTAAAAGTGTAATAATTTTATTTTCTTGACTGAAAAATCACAAAATAATATTTTAAATTGTCAAACCTGTCAGCGTCTCAGGAGCTCACTAAATAAGCCAAGCAACTTTGTCTTTTTCCAAACAGGAACTATTATAACTACACCCTTGATATCATTGTTTTCTTCTGATTTTTTGTGTAATTTTGTTACACAGAAACAATGTAAATGTCAAATGTTACATTTAGTGGAATCTGGTGAAATGAAATTGACTTGATTGGTTTAGAATCAGCTGATTTGCTCTAAGTATTTAAGTAAATACTTGTTTGATGTTTTTATGTTAGTTTAATCAAAAAGATTTCTTCATGAAAAACAAAAATAGAAAGAAGCTTTCCCGCCTTCCCGGTAACCCCGGTAACCCCGTAAACGAGCAGGGTCACCTGGAGGTAAATGAACCATCTTAAACTCTTCTTACTCTTTGGTTTGCATGTGGCTCATTCGGTCACTGAGCTCGTCAAAGTAATTATCAACAAAGCGAAGCATCTGAATGACGGCGCTGAGCAACAAGATGTCACAGTCAGTGACCAACTCCAACTCCTCGCTGTAATTCTTCACTGGAATGATGCAGGACAACGGCACGCCGAGCCGGGAGCCGACCTCCTGCATCTGTGTCACAGCGTACAAGAAAAGGCGAATTCTACCATGTTCAACGTTATTTGTATTTACTAAGAAACGTTTGTTTTCCCTGTAGAACCATCCTCACCATCTCCTTAATGTAGCCACTCTTGTAAATGTTTCTCACATCCTCCTTCACCAGTGGGCAGGCTTCATCTACTTTAGTGAGGAGCACCAGCTGAGGAATACCTGGAAACAAATGAGCAGGGACGTCATTTCCAAAATGTCACAGATTTTGACATAATAATAGAATCTCATCTCTCTGGTGAGGAGGGAGGATGCACCAGTGTGTGCACTGTGGGTATACGTGTTATGGTTGTGTGCTTAATGATAGTTCAGAGGACCTGGCCTTCTGGAGTCTTTGGATGGGAACGCTCTCATCTGGAGGGAAAGTGTGACTGAGAGGAATGACCTTCCAGAGAGTGCTCTGCTATAGGACTAATATACTAATCATAGTTTGTCCATAACAAATATGTGTAAGGGTTATTCCTACGGTACTTGGCACCAACGTCTAATGTTTCACGTGTCTCAGCGAACACACAAACTCCCTGAGCGTCCCTTGGACCACTGTGAGCGACAGCAGACG